CCCGGGTCCAGGTCTCACCATGAGTACTGAGTGAAAATTTAAAAACGTACGTTTTCAGGAAAAGCACTTTGCAAATTTTTTCCCCTTTTTTCAAAACTTTTTAAAACGTTTTTATTAGGTCGCTTTCTTGTCCGCTACAAATTTTGCAACTGATTTTATACTAACTTCCCTATGAGCTAGGGACTTGAAACTTGAAACATATCTCACAAATGGAAGACAATGCAATATTATACAATTTAATTTTCATATTTCCCTTGGGCTACGCCCCATCGGCTTGTTTTTATTAAATCGATTTCTTGCAAATTTTGATACTTCCCGATGAGCTAGAGACTTGAAATTTGAAACATAGCTCACAAATGGATGACATTGCAATATTATATAATTTAACTTTCATATTTCCTTTCGGGCTACGCCCCATGGGCTTGTTTTTATTAGCTCGCTTTCCTACAAATTTTGATATCAATTTTAAACGATGTTCCCGATAAGCTAGAGACTTGAAATTTGAAACATGGCTCACAAATGCATGATAATGCAATATTATATCATTTAATTTTCATATCTCCCTTGGGCTACGCCCCATGGGCTTCCAAATTTTTCATGTTTACATTTTGAAAGGATGGAAATATATCAACTAATTTAAGTCAGCTGTAAATACTTAAATTTGACAGTTCGAAGAGCAGAGGTTAAGAGGTACAGGTTATGCTCCCAAGAGATTCTTTATACAAACAAACATTTCAAAATAAAGATAAACAATCTGATTGCAGGTATCAAGGTGTTTGTAAATAATGTCAATTTTTGTTTATTTAGTATTCTATAAAGTAAACAATAAATATTTCGACTGAATGCATTGCAGAGAAATTCCATAACAAACTATAGTTAAAGGTAGGCCATACATGCAATCTAATACATAATTATATGCAAAGAAACTCAAATAAACCTTAGATTTCCCACATGCCTCTGTCTTAATCTGATATAGATGCTTGAAATAGATTTAACATGCACACACATTAAAACTAAAAAGTGTAAAATAATTTATAAATAAAAAACTTAAAAAAAAACGTTTTTAAACGCCCTAAAAAATAGAAAATAATTTATAAATATGTTGAGAGAGTATAATTACTTGTATGATTTAAAACGAAAAACGTTTGGTGCATGCAATTAATTGATAATAATACATTAGTTCAGTAGGTGAAGGTAATTGTAAACTATCTATTGCATGCACCCCGCGTTTTTCGTTTTAAATCATACAAGTATTTATACTCTCTCAACATATTTATAAATTATTTTCTATTTTTTAGGGCGTTTAAAAACGTTTTGTTTAAAAAAGTTTTTTATTTATAAATTATATTATTTTTTTTATTTCATTAACATTTGAAGTTTCATAAAATATCCATGGTAACGCAATATCTTTGGTAGTTTTTTTTTTAAAGAGCATCTTTAGTGGAAAAACACAAAATCCTGTCACGACCATAACGGACGTTTAAATGAATATTAAAAATGGTTCATATTATTTTTATAACTATGTTTTGCTATAAACTAATTTACTTTTATGGCCATTATACAATAAAAATGTCACTAAGCTTTTGGTATATTTGGTCTTTCCAGAAAAAAATAAAAAACCTCAAAAAATTGAAAAAAAGCCAATAAAATCTTTTTAAGTTTGTATAACTACGAAAAAACTTACCTGAGACCCGAAAAATCGTTATGTTTGTATAGAGGTGTGCTTCTTTTGTGTATAAAACATTGAAATATGAGGATATTTTAATTTTTGAAAACGTGAATTGTCTGGAATAATCTAAATCTTTCTAAACAATCCTTCAATTATACTGTTAGTTATAATAAAAATATGTGTTTCAATTGAACTAAACTGTTCAATTTACAATTATATTTAAGTTGTTGTCACGACCAAACACACTATAATCCATAAGGCTGGATTGGTCGTGAAAAAACCCGCGATGGTCGTGAAACTTTGGTCGTGAAATTACGTGTTATTTGGCTCTGTTCTGGCGGTAGCCCTGCACCTCATGTTCAAGGATACAAAGTGGTCTTCTAGGTTAATCTAGCAATTAAAATACCTTATAAACAAAAATTAACACCATGTCTACTTCATCGAATGACAACGTACGGTCATGGACACACCAAAATTACAAAAAACACAATCTTTCCTTTATTAATCTTGTAATTCCTCCTTTCAACTCGAAACGACCGGCACTACAATCCTGACGTACACCCGAACTAGTCTCTCAAACCAACTGACTCCATCGCCACCAGGCTTGCCACTGTCGTGTTCCAAAGTTGAAAATTTTTCCCAAATCGTCGTGACGCCAAATCGAGGGACAGACTTATTTTGTCATGGTAGTCAGTTTGCAATGACAATAAAATTATAATATGCTCCTTTTTTGTAAGTTTAATAACCATTGATGACATAAAAATGTGGCTTTATATATTTCGGCATGAATAATTAGTCTAAAAACAGCGTGAAAGTTGGAAAATGTAGCCTAGGGACACGTCATGGTCGTGAATTTCGAGACTTTAAAAATACGAAAAAAATACCTAGAACCTACTTAAAACCAAATAAATGTGTGTAACATGTATTTGCCCTCGTCCCAAAAAATATTAAAACACATAATAATAAACTACAAATCCAGTATCTACGAAGTAAAAGGCCAGGGACATGAAAACGTACGTTTTTAAATTTTCACTCCACTACAGTAATAGCTTATTCCCTATATGGGAAATTCGCTAAAACCAAAGCTTTGGCAAGAAGTTACTGCTTTTGGAGAGGAATGGATAAAGACATTGAAAACATGATTGCTGTTTGCAAGCCTTGTCGGGAGAAACAAAATTCTCCAACAAAAGAGATAAATCATCCTTGGGAACCAGCAACTCAGCCATGGGAGAGAATACATATAGATTTCATGGGCCCAACAAATGGACAACAATTTTTCATTGTTGTTGATGCCTTTTCCAAATGGGTAGAGGTAATACCTACAAAAACAGCAACTACCGACTGGACTATTAAGGAGTTGAAGAAACTTTTTAGTACTTTTGGTCTTCCAAGACTCCTAATTTCAGACAATATGGACGAAGTTTCACTTCTCTTACTTTTCAAGAGTTTCTTAAGTCATGTGGAACTCAACACAAAACGACTGCTCCCATCATCTAATGGACAAGCTGAACGCTTTGTACAAACAGTAAAGAAGATGTTGAAGTCGATATTAGATGAACCAGGAACACTTGAGGAAACTTGGCATATTATCTCATATTCAACAGACTAGTAAGAACATACCTCAGTGTTATGATACCTTCTAGAATCGAGCACTCAAAAGACAAACCTAAAGGTGTAACATGCATATTAAAGGTCGGAGACCATGTTCAAGTGAGAAACTACTACAAGGGTCAGAGAAAATGGAGTTTTGGAAAAGTTACATCAAGAGATGGAAATCAAAATTACAACGTTGAACTGGAGAACGGAGTAACATGCAGACGACATATAGATCAAATGCTGCGGTCAAGACTTTAAAGGGGGAAGATTGATGTGTCTTTTCTAACATACTGTATGTTTAAAAAAATACCATATGTTATGTTTAATAAGTTTACTTTGTTTACATTCATTGTTATTTAGGTTTCATTTCAGAATACACCTATTTTATTTTACAAATCTTTTATTTAATATGTAACAACGCAAGACTTGTCAAATATGTAAAGCAGTTAAATTGAAACACTCAGAAATCAAGGGCTAGTGGATCATTTTGCGCTACGCTGTGCGCTATGGAATAGAGCTCCTTCCGGCTCATTTCGGGCATGCATTGGCGCATGCGTTACTTGCATCCCTCAGCGTCAGGGCATGTGTTAAGAAGCATGCGCTTAGCACACACAAAAGCACAAGAGTGTGGACATAGCTGTTGGTGTAAGGAAAACTGCACTACTAATTAATTTAGCTGGTGAGGATGTGGCTTACATTTTTGACAGCTTACTACAACCTACTCTTCCAAATGTGTTATCAACTTATAGGTTTTTTTTCTAATTTACTTTAGAATATCAGTTGATTACTCTTTGTCTCGCTGTCAACTATATAACTGGTGTAGATGTATTGAAAGAGTTATCCCAAGAATTCAAACTTAAGAAAACACAAAATGTGAATTTGAATACAAGATTCAATCCAATTACGAGGGCGGTTTGTAATTAAGGGCAGTTTTTGCGTATACAACCATAATTGCTTGTATGCCACAACGAGGCTCCTTGCCAATTACTGGCTTAATTTTTAAACAGAATCACACCATTCATAGATCTGTAGCTAACATGTACGCTTCGCTGTGTGTTTTTAAAAAACTGTTTAAATATCGAATCTCCCGCCGTATGCGAGATAAGGTCAGTAGTGCCTTTTTTTTCGGTAGTGCCTGTACAAGAAACATATCCAGTGCCCACATTCATTGCCAGATGACTGAAGGCTATGGCCCTAATACAATGAGTTAGGGTGGTTAAGTAGAGTAATGGGTATGGAGAGTAAAAATGGCAGTGAAATCCTTTTTGCTTTGTAGTCTTCTGTGAGAAGTCCGGGTTTTCACCAAAAACACAATTCCTTCCGAAATACACATTTTAAACTCCCTAGCCTGTTTCTGTACTTTCCCCGCTATCATTGCATCAGGGACATAAACTTCAGTCATCTGGCAATGAATGTCAACATCGGATATTTTTTTGTGGTGAAAAAGTAACATACTGACCTTATCTCGTATGCGGCGGGAGATTCCACAGTTTAACAAATTTTCAAAACACACAGCGAAGTGTGCATGTCAGCTACAGAGTTACATATAGTGTTATTCTGTTCACAATGATGCCAGTAAGTAGTTCAAGGATCCTCGTTGTGGTATACAAGGGAACTACGGATGTATACGCAAAAACGGAACTTTACTAAAAACCGGCCTCATATTACAGTATTTTACTGTTTTGTATTTGTATATTTAAGTTTTCCACTATCATCCTCTCAACACTGTACTTACGTTCTGGGTGCTGAAGTAGATCTTGGTCTTCGGTTCTTTATCTTTTTTCTCTTCTGAGAACCTTTCCGTTTGATGACTTCCTCATAGTCCGGTGGTGCTTCATAGACTGGGGGCTCGTCCTCTGCTGCCACTTCTTCTATACGAGCCCCATCTGAGAAAATAATATTATACTGTATATAGTTACGATTATTTTGTAAATATCTATTATTACAGTTAGGGCCAAACAACCAGTTCTTAAACAAATCGTTTTTGGTAACTTTTTGACTGAACCTGGCAGTACACTTTTTGCCTACCCTTTAGCCAAGCTTTTGAGAATAAAATTTAAGTACGTTGCTGAATGTTTATATCCTTAAAATTGAGGTGTGGGTTGATTTTATTTCCCAGTGAGTTACTGTAATCGCTTTGTAAAGGGTACATATAAATACTAGTTATAGACAGTGACATAGATAAGCAAAGATCCCTGAAATGTTGCCTCTGTGGCAAAATATGCATGTTATAGGATTAGATTTATAGACTACAGCAACTCACTTAAAAACTATGGCAAACAAGGAAATTTTTATTGTTGTAAGATGCCTTTTTGCTCTTGTTGTTGTCTAGTAGTCACCAATACGCATTTGGCTACAATTAATTGTGGCATCAAAAAGTACCTATTGTTTTTGTCAACATTTTCAAGTTTTAGTTCTGAGTGGATATTTCCGTTTTGGGCCCCCCTGAACCCAAAAATGTGGTTTTCAAAGAGAAGTCTGTCTGTATGTGTGTGTGTGTGTCTGTATTCACCGAATAGTGGCATCCTTCACAGGCACACGGCCGTACTGTGGCACCTTAAAAAATTGTGGCACCTTTTTCAGGGTGCCATAGCTAATTCGATCATTTTTTGGGGTTTCCAGCATTATTACGTCGTTTAAACATCACATGCCACAATTGAGTATTTTTGAACTCGTTGATGTGAGTTTAAGTAGCGCAGGTACACGCCGAATTGTGGAACACAAACCATACCGGTAGCTAGCGCGCCTCGCGCCGTCCGCTGGAACTATAACTTCCCTAATGCTATGTTGCCAATTCTCGCGCCAGCCTACACTCTAAATAGTGGCACCATGCCGCAATTCAGTATATATCAACAGTGTGTGTACAGGATGCCACTTAATGAGTTGTAGCGCTTCAGCAGTGTGTAGAACAGTGCAACAAGCAACTAATAAACTAATAATACTGTACTGCCACGTACTATAAAACAATTTAAGTACCATAAATAATATACTTTTGCTCCGAGTGGTGAACAATGTTTTACATTACAAATATTTTGAGTAGTAAATTATTATTTAAATTGGTTTTATGACACAATTAAAAAAATTATTTTTGTTTACAAACATAAATTGGTAACGTAGTTATTTTGTATCAATTGAATTTTTACATTGAAACAATAACAATGTTTTAGGTTAGAACACTATATAAGTTGTCCTATGCTGCAATTTTTTATCTTAAAAACAATTTTGTGCTGATACATCTATTTTATTAACATTCTAGTCATGTTGACAAAATACTTTACAATTAGGCCTACATTTCTGAATCACTCAGTAAAGGTAGATTTCGATGCATCATTGCTGAAAGTTATGTTTTGCCTCTCACTCTCAGAGTATTCCAAAGACATCTAATGTTTCAATCCATGTTCCAATGTTATATGAGGTAAACATATAACCGAATCAATTAAAGTACTTAAATTAAAATACATATTATTATCAACATGCATAAAATAGTTCAGATTATATATCATCTCACAATCATATTTGCAAAACCTACTGTACTGTGGTATTTTAACCAGTCCCCACTAACAAAAGCATAAAATGAAAGGTCCTTAAGACGTTAACATTGAGTCATAACAAGAGTGGTTTATTTATTTCTATATGGCAAACACCATTTTACATTTCACATTGCAATTATATACAGATGGCCAAAAAATATGACGTAATAATACATGCTTTGACCATTACAGCTATCTTATCTCCATTACAGTTTAAAAGTAGTAACCGTGATACTGTAAATAATTTGATATTGTTTGATTTTATACAATTGTTTTACAATTTTGTCAATCTATCTGTTACTTTAAATACAAATGTAGGTATTTTTATTATTCAATGTTTTGTTTTGTAGAACCTTTAGCTAACAACTTTATTAATAATAAACCTATTTCAACATACAATATCAATTTTAGGAAATTCCTAGTATGGTTGGAAATATATTGGCTTCCGTGAGGTTTGAGTAATGTTTTTTTAAAAACACAATATGTTATATTTAACTTCACTTATTATTTATTTAATATGTTTCTACTTCTTGAAATTCTCAGATAACTGGGAGGCGGAGCAAACAGTTTGTTCTAAAATGAACTTGGAAATTCTAAACAATCTTTTTTCTATTGGTTTACTTAAAGTCTATAATGTTCTACTATGAATGCAAATCTATAATATAGTATAAATTTCCAGTTCCACCCTCAAAAACTATGGTATTTAATAGTTGAATTTTTATAACGTATCAACACATTATTTTTAATTGGTCACCAAATTGATTCTTGAATTTTTGAATTAGTAGTTGCAAGAGTACGCAAAACTGCAGAGAGTCCTTGAAAACGCTTGTGCAATGATATAGTTTTAAATTATAAAAGAAACCCTTCACAAAATTGTATTAACAGGACCAGAGGACCAATATGCACATGGTATTTCATTTGTTGGAGGCAAAAAATTCAAATCATATTAATTTATGATTGCCAATAGATTTTGGGTTTCCTTAAAAACAATTATATAGAACTGTCTGCAAATGTCGATAAAATTAATTTTATAAGAAATGGTAGATTCTTTTGTTGCTCTGTAGGCGACTATTTTGGTCACACAAGGAAGTCCAAACTTATATCTTAGCAGGGCCGGTTTAACCCATACGCAAACTACGCGGCCGCATATGGCGCCAACGGAACAATTTTTTTTTACGTGAACAACGTAATTTTGTTTATTTTTGCTCAGAGTTCAAGTATTCAAAGCACCACAATAAAGGCATTTATTCTGTTTGTACCAACAGCATTTGAAAAATGTGTATATTTGTACAGCACTACAACTGAAGGACTCAATGCCATTTGCAGTTTCGATTTGTAGTGAGCTGACGCTCGGCAGTCGGCAGCGTACAGCGCGGCGCCTGTCTGTGGGTTTCATTACTCGCTCATGCTCGAGATAAGCAAGCGCGCAGCGCCACTTGTCACGGATGGGCATACGGGAGGGACGATGGCTAAAGGTGAGGTGACGTCATATCTCTAGTGGCTATAATGTTTTCTCTTGAGGCGACATGATTACCGTAACGGGGCAATGTGATTCCAGTGGCGTTCGTGGCATAATTGATAGCGCATCGGACTAGTGATCAAGAGGTCTCGAGTTTCAAGACCCGTCGAGAGGCTGACTTTTTGTCAAAGATTTTACTTTATTTGATTTTTGTCTTATATCTTTTTTATATTATCAGCAAGTTTGGTTGGTTAGGTTAGGTTATGACAGTTTAATTTTATAATTAAAAAGTTAATTTTATTACTAAAAATTATAAAATTAATTTAAATTTGTCGACTTAGTGGTTCTAGCGGCGAACGCTGGCTGACACTATGTTAAGCCATCGTCCCTTCCGTGTGCCCCACCGCCACTTGACACAACATGAAACTTCCCTTCCCTCCCTTCTGCCTCTGGCTCCGATCCTAGAGCAGAGCATTATGTTGTATTGCACTCTTTTAGTTGTATACGTATACCGTATCGGTATCGTATTGGCATTGTTTTGATGATTCATGATGATTGTTGATAAGTATATGATTACGAGTGGTTTAAGTTTAATTTATAATTAGCGCATTAAATAAGAAGAAAGTATAAACTGAATGAATGAGTAAAACATCTTGCGAGCCGATACTAAGAAAACAATGGCAGAAAAAAAGAAACCGTCTGGCACTTATTATAGAAAGCGTAAGGCGAATTTGGAAGAGGAAGATAAAAAAACAAGCCAAATCAATGAGTAGATTTTTATTTAAATCATCTAGTGGCGACCCCATTCAGCCCAAAGAAGTCACGATAGAAGACGGCGATGATTTAGGTATTTATTTATTTATTTTCCAAAGAAAGATTAACACAAGCAGCTGATCACAAACGGCAAACATTACGTCATTGCCGTCTTCTATCGTGACGTCATGCTTGATGAGCATTAAAGCCTGTTTTTTTTGCGTGGCCTTGGTTTTGCTAAAGTTTATATGATGAGTAAAATTGTAAAAATGTTAAATTTCTGCGAATAATAAACAGCCTTTTATTGAAAGTATTCTTCTAACCTAAACTTATTGAAAAATTCTTCCCAAAATTATTGGGAAAAAATTTATAAATATGGTTAAGTTATGTTCATGGTTTGGGGGGGGGGGGGGAATTCTAAGTGGCGCTGATTCGGGTGTTCGCTTAACTCTGAAAAATTCCTAGAACCGGCCCTGTATCTTAGTTTGGACAACGTCATCTTGATTTTACATTGTACAAGATACATAATCGACACATAGGCTTACTAAAAAAAAGTAGTAAAGACAGTGACTTGTGATGAACCGCGCAGGCATCTTGCCTCTAAGACTGACGTTTTCCAAACGAATATAGAAGTTAGATCTACATTCTTCATTTTAGGCTTGAAATAAGTTTGTTTGTGGGTAAGAGCGAATGAGTAAGCATGAACAATTATTAACCCCCTTTACCCTTCTCCCCGACACGCCACCATACCACAGCATCTTACTAAGCAGAGCTCAAGGTCATTGACGTAATTGTAATGAACTAAATTTAGACTTCCACCTCCCCAATGTCACCAATAGGCCCTAGGTTGGTATGTAACAATTAATGACGTTGAACAATGACCTTTAAAATATGCTTTTAATTTGTTTTCTAGCGTTTACCGTATCTTACAAACAGTTAGTTTACATAATTAATACTTAACAAAAACTTTTTGGGCGAAAGAAAAATTCTCAAAAGCTACAAATTAATTTATAATATATGTATCTATATCGTATTAAAGGTTTGGCGTTTGGTTTACAATGTATTTTCAAAGTCACAAGATGGTTTCTGAAACTCTTTATACAACTTTCCTTTATAAATTAAAAAAAAATATGATCCAAGAAAT